TGTGTGTGTGTGTGTGTGTGTGTGTGTCCATTATGCTGAATTGCCTGTGCACGTTCTTGTGTATGTCTGGTCCCATGTTTGTGCATCTTTTGTGTCTTAATGTCACACAGTGGGCTCATTGACAGTATAGCTGCCTCAGCTTTGTGTTCATTTCTTTGCACTGAATCGCTCTTTTGTTGCGTTTGACGTCGAGGCTCATAATGTGTCTAAAAGCCTTGAATGTAAACAGATTGACCGAGAGGAGACAGTATGATGGCACTCTCCATTCACAAAGCACATTCACAAGTGGAATTAATCTGAAAAGCTACAACACAGCAAAGAGTAAAATCCACCTAATTTGCATACCAGCGGAGATATGTAAATCAGTAAACTGGAAGAGTTTCGCCGCTGACAGTTCAAACGCGCCTGATCCTGGGAAAAAAGACGTTTGTGCAAGAAAAAGAGACACAAGTCACCTCACGTCCGAAGACACGTTTCAGATTCAGCTGGTGATCTTATCTGTCCTTGTCTTTTTAGTGCAGGTGCTTTTTATAATTACACTGTAGCATTTATGTTTCAAGCTAATATGGGATTAAGACTTTTATGTGTTTTAATTGATATTTGTCTACATTCACTTGTTTCCTTTCTTTCTCACAGAATAAGATGGAGGAGTGTGGTGAGATGTCCCCGGCCCTTCCTCACTCTCACGGCCCGACCCCCTCACAGACGGCCCTGCAACACACACAGCTCATGCTGACTGGCTCCCAACTAGCAGGGGTAAGACTGACTTATGATACACACACACACATACACACACGCTGCTTTGCTTTTACCTTGCTTGCTTCTCTTGTGCTTCTTTTTGAAAACTGTTTCCTTCATTGTCTCTTTCTGGCCATTTCATTCTTTTCTTTTGAATCTCAATTCTCTCCTCCTCTCCTCCTCTCCTCCTCTCCTTTCCTCTCCTCTCCTCTTGCTCTTTCTCTCTCTCCTCACCAGTTGACAGCTCTGTTGCCAGCGCAGCAGCAGTTGTTGCTGCAGCAGGCTCAGGCGCAGCTCCTGGCTGCAGCTGTGCAACAGTCCAATGCAGCCCATGCTGCTCATGCTGCCCACGCGGCCGCCCAAGCCAATCAGCAAGCTCAGGCAGCAGCAGCAGCAGTAGCAGCAGCGAATCAGCAAGCCCAGCAGCAGCAGCAGCAACAGCAGGCAGGACACACGGGTCAGCAGGCTCAGTCGCAGGGACAGGGGCAGAGCACACAGGAACAGACTGCCCAAAGTGTCCCTGTCCCACCTCCTCCACCCCAGCTTACCCTGTCCCAGCCCATCCAGCTCACCGCCCAGGTACTGATTGCCAATCAAAGCCACTTCCTGATGATCGCTTTGATTGAGGAAATAGTATTTAGCCTCGGAACAATCTTGCAGGCGTGTCATTTGTTTCATGATTCACAGTTTCCACTGTGCATGAATGCACACATTTTCCCTTTCTTTTCAATAACAACATTTTCCACTTACTTCTATGTTTTCTGCTCCTCTCCTCAGCAGGAGGTGCCTCACATACTAACACATTTTTATAAGTCTGAGCCCTCAATCTCTCCTCATGAGTTCATGAGAAGTTATAGATACAAACCTTCTCTCTTGATCACACAGGACATCCAGCAGCTGTTGCAGCTTCAACAGTTGGTGTTGGTGCCCGGTCACTCGCTCCCATCTCCTGCTCAGTTCCTCCTCCCGCAGGCACAGCAGGCCCAGCAAGGTGGGGCCTGCATATTATTTTATGTTTCCTGCAGAAATTAGTTATAAAATTCACCTTTTTGTCATAATCGATAATGTTGGGTTTTTTTTTTGTCAGGACTCCTATCGACACCAAATCTTATTACGCTACCTCAGCAAAACCAAGGAAGTCTGCTGTCTGCTCAGAATAGAATGGGACTCCAAGCACAGGTGAGAAAACTTTTAAGCTTCAGTCAGTGGGAACAGAAAACCCAATGCTTTCACTACTGATACCAAACACTTGTTTCTCTCCCGCCTTCCTTCGCTTTCATTCTCACTTTCATTCCTCTGCGTCGTACATGCTGCAGCGAGATAAGAGCATGGATGTGAGCGGTGGTGGAGGCGTGACTACGATGCCCTCAGTGACCCCTCATCCCGAGGAGCCCAGTGACCTGGAGGAGCTTGAACAGTTCGCCCGCACTTTCAAACAGAGACGTATCAAACTGGGCTTCACACAGGTTGGTAGAACCAAGCAGGTTATATTAAATGTATTAATTTTTAATTACAATAAATGTTTCTCAGTCACTGATGTGTTTTTAACTGTCTTACATTTTTCTTCTGTAGGGAGATGTAGGTTTGGCCATGGGGAAGCTGTACGGCAACGACTTCAGCCAGACGACCATCTCCCGCTTTGAGGCCCTGAACCTGAGCTTTAAGAACATGTGCAAGCTGAAGCCGCTGCTGGAGAAGTGGCTCAATGATGCAGGTGAGCTCACATTAAAATAGCAGCTCTCTGCATTTATGTTAAAAGTACTTACATGACATTCAGTCTGTTTTCCTCCTGCAGAGACCATGTCCATAGACAGCACCCTGCCCAGCCCCAGCTCCCTGTCCTCTTCCTCTTTGGGCTTCGAGGGGATGCCTGGTCGTCGCAGAAAGAAGAGAACCAGCATCGAGACGAATGTACGTGTGGCCCTGGAGCGCGCATTCATGACGGTGAGATAATTAAAGCTATTATTAAGGTAGAAATGAAAGAAATTCTTTTCTTGAATAGATTGCACTCAGTAGAGAACATACCTCCCCCACGGCAAAACACTCACAAATATTAGTCCCTTAAATGTGCCTATTTTTAATCAAGAAACATCAATTATTCCATTGGAAATGAGTTCAAATCTCTTTACTGACCCACAACTGCATCCCTTCACCAAGTTTCAAGGAAATAGTTTCAGTAGTTTTTGTGTAATCTTTCAAAAAGTTGACAGTTAGCGAAAACATGACCCATAACTGACCCTAAATCCATCAGATATTGTGTTTTAATGGAGTCATTATATATATTTTATATATATATATATATATATATTATATTATGTATAAATACTGTAATAACCTGAGTGTGTATTTTGTCATCACTGTCCAGAGTTTATTAAAAATGAACACATGAAGAATTACAGTGATTTAAAGCTTAAGGCTTCATCTTAATGAACACATCATTTAGGTGTCACATTCTTCCCTTTGTGTAAACGAACATGATTTATGTCTCGGTGTTTTGAAACTTTTAGCTGAAATCTAGCACTGTTGAAATAATCCTGCAGAACCAGAAGCCTACCTCAGAGGAGATCCTGCTGATCGCCGAGCAGCTCAACATGGAGAAGGAGGTGATCCGAGTCTGGTTCTGCAACCGCCGGCAGAAAGAGAAGCGCATCAATCCCAGCAGTGCCACCCCTCCCCTGCCCAGCCAGCCCCCCACTGCCCCACCAGCACACAAACAACCCTGCTACAGCCCTCACATGGTAAACGCACCACCTCAATCCACATCTCCTCCCCTCTATGTGATAGTTATACAGTGTTTGTCAGCCGTCAGTAGTTTCAGAAACCTGAATCTGTCTGTGTGTCCGTCTCCCCGCCAGATGTCCAGCCAGCTGTCGCAGGCCGTGACCAGTCTTAGCAGCACAACGGTGACCACCATGCCCTCCATCTGCTCCCTGACCTCCAGCCTCACCTCCACCCATCCCTCCATCAGCTCAAGCCACCTCTCTCTCAGCTCTGCACCCTCCCCGGTGACTCCTCCTCCTCCTCCCCGCAGCACGGCCAGCCCAGCCACTCCCAGCCACAGCACACTCAGCCTGAACACAGGGTAAGACACAACGTGCCCAGGCCCTAAGTCGTGGATGTCTTAGGGAATCATTCTAGAATTGTGTGTAATTTGGCGCAGATCCAAATAGAAATCTGGATATACTCTCAAATGTAATGTTTCATGTGTTGGGTTGATAGCATAATCTCAGTTTGGTGGAGAGTGAGAGATGGAAGCTGCAAAACCTGAAGAAATATATCCAAACCTACTGTAACTAAGATATCAACCGAGGTGTTTTTTGTGGCAACTGACCCTTTAAATATCAGGTCCATGTTTGTTTTTTATCTTGATTACAGTATTTTTTTTATATTTAAAAAAAAATCACTGTCTCTTTGTCCAAAAATGTAGGCAAAGCTTCTTAACACACGTTACACACACAACCACACATTTCCATGAAACTATGAATACTGCACCCTGCGCGGTTCACCTGCAGTTTGTAGTTAAATGGTTGATATGGTATACACACACACAAACACGCACACACACGCACACACACCGATAGCCCAGCAATGCCATTGGGTGCCACTGCTCCCCCCATGCAGCAGTGCATTCTAACCCTGTGTGTGTCCGTGTGTGGTTCTTGTGTTCACAGCTTATGGCGTATGGGTAAAAAGAACGGTGACGTGTCTAACTACATCACCGATTTTGCTGCAAACTTGAGGTGAATGCGACACACGTAGATATTAAAGTACTGAATTCTATCCTTTGTTATAGATGCAGAGTAAATTATACATTTTTAATCTTTTGTAACATTTTCTATATGATCTGTCTACTTCCACACGTCTAACCTCTTTTTCTTAACATTGTTTACACCTGTCCTGCAAACTATCACCAAACTACTGCTCCTTATATGTGCAAGGCTGAATTTGTCCTCTGCTTGTATTTGCTGCCAAACTTTTCTCACCTTTTCTCCTCTGCTTGTCTTTGTTCGTATATATGCTTGCACGTGTATGGTGCTGTGTGTGTGTGTGTGTGTGTGTGTGTGTGTGTGTGTGTGTGTGTGACACAACAGGAACACTGTGATGGGAGTTAACACAGGGATGAACCAAGCCCTCCTCGGTAACAATCCCCTGGCCACTATCCAAGGTGTGTGTGTGTGTGTTATATAGACATGAAAGGCAAATGAGTTTAATAGAGAAACCAGTGAGAATAGAAACCAATGCAGAGGTCAAGGCTGAGCTGGAGGTGTTTGTTTTTATTCAGTTTCTGGAAAAAACTAATCTTAGGGTCATAGGAAACATAAAACACCCAGAGAGGAGTTTTAATGCTCTGCGCACATTTTCCTTCATCTTACACAAACACTTGCCTCTCACACACTCCTACACAAACATAAATGTTTAGACGCATGTACTGTACATGACACATCCCCTCTCACACACCTGCCTACACTTCAGAACAGAACGAGAATAGCACAAGGGGGGGGGGAAAGTGTGCAATCCTGCAGAAGTGACCAGTGAACAGTCTCGACCGACGTCAACAGAGCTCATTTTCCAGGTGTGAGAAGGGTGAGAGAGAGAGAGACGTATTAAAAAAGAGAAGTGTGACGGTGAGTAATACAGTTATGCATGTTACTGCTGACTGGAGACACAGATGCAAAGGCAGCTGAGGGTGTTTGCTCATCGACAGCACGAGGCAGCCGAGACTGAGACAGTTGTAGATTTAACTTCTCGTGTGTCGCAGTCGTCCAACATCCATCAATTCATCCCATCAAGTGTTTGTACGTGTGTGATGATGGTTACGTTAATGTGTGTTTGTGTGTTTGTTTGTGTGTGCCTGTGCTCTGTCACTCATCTTCACCCTCTGATCTCTTCATTTAATCATTTGTCAAATATGATGATGTGAGGAAAAAGTTCAATTTAGTCTGAAAGTTTAACTAAAGAAAAACACACTCACATACAGTATATACCCACTTTATTCATTCTCATTCATTGAGCTGTTTGGAGGATTTCTACTAATGTCAATATGTATATGATATAATAATAATAAGAAAACATTTTAATATCATTAAACCTATAAGTAAAATATCAATTTATACGAAATTATATCGATATAGAATTTTAATATAATCAAACCATCAGCAGTAAATGTCAGGTTTAGATGTCAGACCTTCAGGATAACAACATTCACCAAGGAATCAATCACCAAGAGAGGACTCAACAGACCATAATGCACAAGACATGTTGCACTTTGAGGAGTACGAGCCAGGAAAAAGATAAATGTGTTTTTCTGTTGCTATGCAATCACAAATATGATTAGACTTCCTTCACGCGAACCGTGTTGATAGTGAAAGAAACACTGCAGGACGTGCGTTCAGAAGAGGAAAAACAAGTCATCTACCTTGTTTCCATAACAACAGGCCACTCATCTTACCTTTGCCTGTGCTGTGTCTGATTCTATGAGATGAGCTTGTTCCAGATATTATATTATGTTTAATTGTCAACTCTTTTTTTTTTCCGATTGGCTTATTATTGACATTTTGTGTTTTTCTCTGTTGCATACGAAGAGATTCCCTCTTGAAAAACAGACTTTTTGGAGAATAACAGTGTTTTTCCCACTTCTCCACCTTCTTCTACTGAATATAACAAGTTTGGTCATTTTCTCAGTCTTCGTCTGCACTGTGGGAAATGAGATGAAGGAGATTGACAGAGAGTTGGTTGACTGACACATACATTTCTGAGAGAAAAGGAAAAAAAGACTGTGCTTGTGTTTGGAGGAGGAAGAGATGAAGGAAGAGATGAAAGGGGATAACACGGTGCCCAAACATGATCGCATAATCAAACAATAAGATAAAGTTGACTCTGGTTTACAGTAAAAGTGTCTGGTGATGGAATATCCCTTTAATATCCCTTTAACACCCTCCGTCTCTCTCTCTCCCTCAGCCCTAGCAGCCAGTGGTGGTCAGCTGCCTCTTTCCAGTCTTGAGGGGGCCAGTAAGGTTTTGCTGGGGGCCTCTGGGGGCCAGGGAGGTGGCCTCCCCTCCTCCCTCTTCCTCAACCACCCTGCCTTCCTCCACATGTCCCAGAACCCCGGTGCTGGACTGATCAGCGCCGCTGTAGCCAAAGCCTCCCAGGCCTCCCCCTTCCCCTCCGCCAGCAGCATCAGCCCCACCCCCTGCTCCCCGTCCCCCTGCTCCAGCCCCGCCTCTTCCTGCTCCTCCAGCGAAATGGCACACAGCCCGCCCCCTCTGGGTGGCGGCAAGATCGAGTGACCACACAAAGGGCCAATCAGAGAGGAGGAGGACGGAGGAAACGGGAACCTCGCCTTTCACACCAAAGCTATCTCTTTCTCTCTCTTGTGCTCTTCTTCCGTTATTATTTTCATGATGGCTCTCTCTCTCTCTCTCCTTCTCTCCCAGTCTTTCGATGCCAAAAATATACAGAATGAAAGAGGGGAGAGGGAGGGAAAGATGTGAAAGAGGGCAGAAGGGAAGGGAAAGGGGAAGATCGAAACCAAAAATCTTTATCTATCAAAAACAGACGAAAAGGCGGCAACGTGGGACCTTTTTGTCAACGACGCGTGATATCAACATGGCACCTCTCCACTCTTTCTCTCTAAAGGAAAACAAACCAATGACTCTTCCACAAAAGAGAAGGAAGAGACGGCGGAGATGCATGTCGACGAATATAAACCAAAAATGACGAAAGATAACTTTAATATGTGACAAAGGAATGGCGGCAAGGACAAAAAAATGGAGAGGACTGTGCTTACATTTTTCTTTTTCTTTTTTTCGTATTATTTCGAAAAGCTGCGGGTCTGAAGGAAGAGGAGTCGGGAGGACAAGTTTAAACCAAAAATTTACCTGAGGAGGAGGCGGAGGAGGAATACACAATGACGAAAAAAAAGTCAACCATACCAAAATCCCAAATACCAAAAATACGGAGAGAAAAGCTTTATTCAAAAAGGACATGTAAATACTGAAGCTATCCAGGACCAGGACTCTACTGCTACTGCAACACACACACACACACACATCAAGAGCCAATCCATCCTGTCATTGACTCATCCTGTTTGTGTCAGATCATGTGTCTCTCATAGGTTTTCATGCTAGATTGTTTTGAACAATTGTGTAACGTTCGATTGCCAATACTGCTGCATCTTCATGCGTTTATAGTCTCTTTACCTACCTCTGGTTCTAAGAGCATAGAGAAAGCTTTCCTCTTCTTTTTTTTATTTCAAACATCCCTGACGGACTCTTATTATCCAGTATCCGTTTTTTACACTTTGAGAAGTACACATGGGATTTGTGTTTTTAATAATTTATTAGTGCGATTTTTCCTACTCTATTTATTGCTGCAGCTTTTTTTTTTGTGTTAGCTTTTGGGGTTATGACTCATCATCGTCATTGTCATCATCTTCATGTTTGTGTCTACGACGTGCATTTTGTTCCTACATGTGGCGGAGATGATGGACGTGACAAGACGCTCGTCTCAGTCCTCACCAAGTGCCGGTAGATCAAAAAAAAAGTCGGCACACACTTTGTAGTTTGATTTCAAGGTGTGAATGAATTTATTAAGACCTAAACATGTGGCGTTCTGTGCTCTTAATCAAACCACTCTTTCCTCACTCTTAAAGATAACCCATTATCAGCGGGTCCAGGGCTAAATGAACATGCCCTAGGAACTTCGCACACCTTCGTTAAAGAGTGGTTGACCATTTTGAAAGTATGAAATAGGGCTGTGATTGAAGATTCGAAGTATCAGCCGTTAAGACTGCAGGCTAAATAAGTCAATAAAGCCAAGTTTAGTCACAGCTCTCCTTCCTGCCTCGTCTATCAGTGTTAGACGCCGCACGCTACACCTGTCTGTCTAGACATGTTTACTGATGTGTGTCTGTTTCCATCATCACCCCATCAATCACATTTCACTGTCATTTTCCACCTCAGACTGCCATTAATTCTCAAATGGAAACCAAAGCATTCTCAAGGCTGCAGGGCTCATCTTGAAGGAGCCCTGGCCCAGACATACGAACACAATAAAGACACAGAGGAAGGTGGGGTGGGGGCTGAGAACAGGACGTTAGCACCGGAGGCCCCCCTGCCTTCCAGGTGTAATCCCCTCCACCTGGCCCGTCGTAAAAACCCAACGGGGGAAGCTTTATTTAGGGAACTGATCCTTTACTCTGAACCCCCGGAGACAAGGGTATGCTGCGGGGCAGGCGACGAAGGGACATGCTGTTGTGAGGGGGAAACAATGTTTTGTAAGAGGATACCAAAAATAAACCCAAACCAAAAAAACACAAAAACATTAAAAACCAACAACCCAAGGAATGACAGAAGCAAACCAAAAAGAACCCTAACCAAATGTGGCTGGAGGGAGGAGGGGAGGAGGACAAAGTGCCGGCTGTCTGTCTGTGTGTCTGTCTGTTAGCTTTAGGGCTGCAGCGTTCGCCCCCCCCCCCCACACTCTGAAACTGTGTAGCATGGATAGAGAGATGAAATAAGACGCACAGACAGACAGGAGAGCAGGAGAAGGACAGACAATTCCTCCCCTCCTCTGCCTCTCTCCAGCCCAGCTCTCTGGTCCTGGATGGAGCTAAACGCAAATGACCTCACTGAACTGAAATCTTCTAAAAAAAAAAAAAAAAAAATCTGTTTTTATTTTTCTGTTGGTTGGTTCCGATTGTTTTATCTCTGCTGTGTCTCTTGATGCTGTTTTATGTACTGTACTTTAGTGCTTATTACTCATTTGGAATAACGTACTCGCTTACTTACTACAAGAGCTCCTTATTTTTTTCGTAGTCGTGCTAGAGATTTTTATCAGGTGGTTGGAAAAAATACTGTGAAAATTTAGCTTCCAGATTTTTATTAGATAAAGAAACGGACTGTCTCGACAGAAAAAAAAACAGACCACACAAAAAGCCAAAAACAAAGAAGTTGAATAGCAAACCTTGAAAATGCCAAACCAAATGCTGAACTAAACCAAACACAGTGGAGAGGAACAGGAACTGCCTCCTCTGCATGCAGGCAAAGAAATGGGCTCGTGTCGATTTGTCTGAGGTGAAATTGTAGGTTTTCTGTTGATAGGATGGTAAAAAACTAATAGTTACTGCAGCGATGACACCGAAAGATGCAGAATAACACAACACAGAAACAGCCTCAGGCAACTTGACGAATAGAGAGTTGGACGTAAACGCATCCAAAGAATATTTGGTTTGGTCCACACCAGAAAAAAAAAAGAAACAGTCGACACGCGAGAATCGTTTCACGAACCAAACTTTAGATGTGGGGTTTGCACCTCAAAGGTGAAACCGTTTCTCCACATGGACTCTTAGACGGAATGTATCTGTTAGTGCTTCTATAGATTTTGTAGAAAAAAGATCTATGTTCTACTGCTTACTTATCGCTAATGTATTAAGAAGAAAAAACTTACAAAAAAGACTTTGAGAAAAAAAGATCCTAAAAAAAACATTGATGATAATAACTTGATTTTAGACCAAAAATTTTAACTATCTCTCTTTGGACTTTTTATTTCTCCATATGAATGATGGTTTAGACTTTTGATTGTACTATTTATTCGGGTAGGGTTGATTTATTTGCTTATCTTTTTTTTGCTATTTATTTCTTAATTTATTGCTAGAGGTGCTTTTTCATATTCTGGGATGTATTTGTGATGTTTTTTTGTTTTTTTGCCCCTGGTGAATTTCTTACTTACCTCTTTAAACCAAATAACAGAAATGCAACAACGGGTCCTTTAGGGGCTTAAGAGGAGAGTATGGCTGATCTGATTGGTCGCCGTAGAGATCTTCTCTTCCTGATGGAGGCGACCCTCTTAAAGGGGAAGGGGACGCACTGTGTGGACAAACACCTCATGATTTGATTAGGAGGAAAAATGAATTTGGCGTGAGCTTTTCTGGACACACACTTGCCTTCGTGTCTCCTGAAAATGCGATGAGCAAAAAGGGGGCGAGTGGAAATTCTGTTTCAAAGCATAAATATGATTTATGTGTGAAAAATATACGTGAGGTGTTCTCCGAGGCACAGTGCTGCTTCTGTTCTCTACATTTTCTCCACTGGGGAACACACTGAAAGCTTTACAGCTACACAACCAAAAAACACAACAGACAAAGATCAACGGGGGCAAAGGCTGAATTTTCTTCTTTCTTTTTTTTTTTTACACGATAGAGATGAAAGAAGCAGGCAAAGTAGAAAGAGGATGATTTTGGATTCCCAGCTGTAAATTGCCCTCTAACTTCTCACTATGCCTCTGTCTCTTTTCTTTAAGTTTCTATATCTCTTTTTATTTCCACTTTTCTGCAAGTCTTTGTTTAAACTTTTTCCTTCGTCCACTGTAGGGTGTGAAAGAGAGATAGTTCATCATATACCTCATATTCTTTGATGATAAACCAAATAGATGAATGCTTTAAAACGCGGGGTTCCAGTGGGGACCAGGGTGGCGTGTGGACGGTGCATTCATGTTGAGCAGAGACAGTGAGGCGTGGTCGCACAGAGGTGAACACATAGGTTTGAGATCTGGGATCAGGTTGTTAGAGCTTCAGTCGGATTCTGGCGGTGCCATTAAAGGTAAAAAAGGTCAAACTGGTTCTTGCTCCGGCCTGGACACACACACCCACACCCACACCTTGTTCCCCTGGAAAACATCCCCCGCTGTCTGTGTTGAGCTTTGAACACAGCCCTCTCCTCATATCTGACCCTCGCCGCTTCCTCCCTGTCACAGACGGACTGTGGGTTTAAAGCTGCTCTCTGGCACAGATCTGGGATTAAACCCGGATCCATATTTTTGGGCTTGAAAAGCTTTTAGTTTTGTGCCTCTGAGCAAATTTAACACCGAGGTCACTGAGCCCTCTCTCGCCTTGAGGCCTTTATCGCCTGACAAGAGGGCACGGTGACCACTTGATGTCCATGAGCATCAGGGAGTGCTGCGGGGGCGGGTTACGGGGGGGGAACAGGCTGAGACTGAGGTTGCTAGGTGACGCCTCTCACGACTCGTGCTTGGTGAGACAGCGGTGGTTGGAGGGAGAAGCGTTCTCGGTAGAAAACAAAGGGAGAACGTGAGTGGAGGTGCACTTTTCTGTGAGAAACAAGGTTTGAGGGAGCGGTCGTGTCCTGCGCAGGTCTCTGTGGTGGGGATACCCCCTTAGTGAATGATACCAAAGTCAATGCCCCGCCACGGGATCCAGCAAAGTGTTCACACGCCCCAAAAACCCTGATGTCCACTTTTGAGTGTTTAGAAACTCCACTTTCCTCCCTATGGATCCTCTGCTCATCGGTGTTTCCTTCTCCACACAGTTATCACAAGAAATGCATCTTTACAACAGCAAACTTAAATGTAGCATTGCATTAGTTGTTTGTCTGTTGGGGAAACTACCACTCTCGTCGCTGTATGGTAAATGTGAAGCTTATACCAGCTTATACCGTCACTAGCTTAGCTTATCATAAATACTGGAATCAGGGGGAAACAACTAGCCTGACGATTTAATGGTGATGTCAGGACGTCAGGAATTTACTTCAGGAAGCAAAGAAATAGTTCCAACTAATTCTAACTCCTGAAAAAAACACAAAATGATATTTTAAAACTTTAGTTTTTGTACAGATTAGACAGTACACTCTTTTTTAACCTGTGCTGATGCTCAGTACACAGATGAATCCTCACAGTCGAACCGTCATATCTGACTCATGCTTGTTATTAGCTTTATACACCAGAGTACCACTCATTTGTGACTGAATGTACCACTGTCAGCTTAGGGTGTGAACATGGCACTCAGTGGGGCCTTTACCTCATGAAACCACATTTAAATTCACTGCACCAGTCTGCATCGAGAGCCAAGACTTATTCTATGAAAAATCTACGAAACTGTTTGAATCTCACGATTTTAAAGAAAGAGGAAAGAAAATCCTGGGTCCACACTGAAATTTGATGGGTTTAGTTTTTGCATTATCCTGCAAACTAACAGACAATGCAGACAAAAACATAATGTCCTCAGTGGAGGTAATTATGAAGTGATAACTCAGGAGTCTGCGAAACTCTTTATCAGCCAGTCACTGAACTGTGGCTCCGACCAATTAGCTCCGAGCATCACCGCGATATAAAAGTGAACAAAGTGCAGAGTTAGTGATGACATTTATCTGAACTGAGGGAGGGAAGGTTTCTTCACACGTTATGCAAAGTTACCATCAAGCTTCATATTTACTCTGCAGATACGAGACTCGTGTCTGAGCTTGACTAAGAAAAACCTGACAGAAAGCAATTATCTCCGAGCATGAAGCCGTAAGAGATGTAACTGTTGTCGGAGAAGGAGAAACATGACAAGCAGAGAGATGGAAACAACAATGAGCTACTTCTTCTTCCTTCACCCCCTCTCATCCACACGTAGACTTCCTCTCTTCCACCACCACCCCTTCTTCCTCTTTCTCTCTCTCTCTCTTTCTCTCTATCTCTCAATCTCTTCTACAATACAGCTTTAGTCCAAAGGTTTTCCAGCAACACAGCAAAGCAAATCAGATGTTAAAGAAAAAAACCAAAGAGCTCTAACCTTCTCTTCAACCCACATAACCTCCACTTCATCTCTCTCTCTCTCTCTCTCTCTCTCTCTCTCTCTATCTCCCCCCTCCGTCTGACTCCTCCGTCACCTAGCAAGCCGGTCTGTGAAGCATTAACCTCAGCTATCCAAAGGGAAATAATAATAATGATAATAATGATGATAATTAAATGATGATGAAATGTATATTTTTGAGTATTTGTCATTGGAAAAATAATCTTAAGCTTCTCATAATTATGATGATCATAATGATGACGACAACAAAGACGACGACGATGATGGTGATGATGATGATGATGATGATGATAATGAAGTTTCTCTCGGTATCTTTGTAGCTGTTCTGATCCTTCTTAAGTTCTTGTCCTTTCTGCTCGTGCTGCCAGAGTAAACTCCCCCCCCCCCTCTTTTTTTATTTGGTTTACCCCCATGTTTAGTCCTAACGTCTAACTGTCTGACCTTTACCCCTGTGTGTGTGTGTGTGTGTGTGTGTGTGTGTGTGTGTGTGTGTGTGTGTGTGTGTGTGTGTGTGTGTGTGTGTGTGTGTGTGTGTGTGT